GTTCGCGCTGGTGCGTGGCCACCCTCAGGCTGCGCCACGTCACGCTCACCATCGTTCCGATCTACATGGTCTCGGGCGAGGAGTTGGGCGGCCGCAACCTCAAGTTGCTTTCTCAAGTGGGTGCTCGGCTCGGCCAGTTGGCGGGCCCTCTCTTCATCGTTGGGGACTGGCAGTCTCTGTCCAGCGAGCTGGCGACGACTGGCTTCATGGCGGCGCTTGGCCTGGTCGAGGTGCAGTCGGGTCTGCAGGTCACGTGTACTGGTGGCAGGGGCGCGGGGCGTGCCATCGACTACGCCTTGGTCTCGTCCTCCTTCGCGTCGGCTGTGCAGTTTGCAGGGGTCGACGTCTCGGCCCCGTGGGGCACCCACCTTGCGCTCTCCTACAACATCCTGGCCAACCCGAGGTCGCTCATGGGTTGGTGCGTGGTCATGCCGAAGGCGCTGGACATCTTTGTCGCCTCCAACGAGAGCTACGACCTGGACTGGGACGTCGCCCTCTCTGAGGCCCGAGCCTTTCGCCAGCGCTCCTCTGCCCGTTTTACTTCTAACTTTGAGGCGGCTAGCCTCGCCATTGCCGATCACGATGTGCCTCAGACTGCCCTTTTACTCGGAAGCCAGCTCGGGGAGTGGGCCCTGGCTCTGGAGTTCGTGCACTGTGCCAAAAAAGGAATCCCTCGCTCGCAGTGGCCTCTGTACGTAGGACGGTGCCAGCAGCCTCGCCTCAAGTACGCCCCCATCGTGCCACGCGCCAGCGACGGCCCTCCTCTCGCTGACCGCCACGCCCGTTTTTGGCGGGCCCTCGCTGTGCAGGCCTCCTTGCTTCTGCGTTTGGCTGATCCCGAGGCGGATCCTTCCGAGCCTTCTACTCCGCGTGCCCGCTGTGGTGAGCAGTTCTGGAGCACGATGCGCGGGCTGGAGGCCCTGCAGCTGCCCCCGCCTTTCGATCCGAACGACGCGGTGGAGAAAGCGATCCTTGAGCGTTGGATCTCTAGGCTCCGCCAGCTTCGCTCGCTGTCGCTCGACAGCCTTCAGCAAATCGCGGAGGAGGCTAAGGAGCAGGGAGTCCAGGCTGCCCAGCGCGCGGCTGCGGCGGCCCGTGCGCGCTGGCGCTCCTGGTTGTCCGACGCTTTGGCGGGCTCTGCTAGCAAAGCCCATAGGCTCCTCCGCGATTCTCCCTCAATCTGTCGCGCCGAGCCTGTCTGGGACGGAGAGCCTGCCTCCACGCCCTCTGCCGTGCTTGAGGCGGAAGGCGCCTCGTGGCACGCAATCTGGTGCAAGCATTCGCGGCCCGAGGCGTTGGAGGCCCTCGCGAGGATCCGCCGTGCTGCTCTGTCGTCAGCCTGCTTCGAGCCTGTTTCTCCTGACCAGGTGAGGGGGGCGTTAAAGACCGTTCCTGATCGTCGGGGGAGGGGGATTGACATGATGCCGCCTCGCCTGGTCAAGGATGCGCCGCCTGCTGCCATCGATGCGCTCGCGGCCCTTCTGACGGCCATCGAGCGCGAGGCCACAGTGCCCTTTCAAGAGCTGTTCAACCTCATCGCCTTGCTGGACAAGGAGGATGGAGGCCTGAGGCCCATCGCCTTGCTCAATTTCAGCTACGTGTTGCTATGCCGCATTAGGAAGCCAGTGATAGGCGCCTGGGACCGTGACCAGCACGGGGCCTGGGACAAGACAGTAGGCGGCTCGGCCGATCTAGCGGGGTGGTTGGACGAGCTGGAGGGGGAGCTTGCGCTCCTGGGAGGCTTCGAGGTTGCGGGCGGACTGCTCGACCTTCGGAAGTTTTACGACCTGGTGTCCCTGCCTGATTTGGCGGCGGCGGCCCAGGATTTAGGCTACCCTCTCCGCCTCCTCGCTCTCGCCCTCGACGTCTACCTCGGTCCTCGCCTCCTCACCCTCCAGCGCCAGGTGCACACAGGTATCTTGCCTGGTGGAGGCATCCTCGCCGGCTGTGGCCAAGCTGTCTCGCAGGCGCGCGCCTACCTGCACGCCCCGCTGAAGGCGGCCCACTCCTTGGTGCCAGGGTTGCGCCTGAGGGAGTGGATCGACGATCTCGCCTTCCGCCTTTTCGGCACTGAGCACTCGCTCAGCTTGGCCTTTCCAGTGGTGCTGCGCGCCCTCTTTACGGGCCTGCGCAGGCTGCGATGCGAGTTTTCCTTGGGGAAGTGCGGCCTCATGGCCTCTTCTGCTGCCATCCGCGCCTTGCTGCCCGCGTGGGCGTCGGCGGCCGAGGTCGGGGCTGGCGGCCTCAGGACTGTTCGTGTTGCCCGCGACCTCGGCCACGACACATCTTTCGGTGCCTCGCGCTCCGTGAAGGTGCGCAAGAAGCGTTTCATGAAGGGCAGGCGCGCCGCTCCCAAGATTTCGGGACTGGTCAGGTCCGCGCCGCGAGCCTCACGCCTTTTCGTCTCCAATGCCCTGCCGAAGTCGGTGTGGGCGCCTGAGGTGCACGGGCTGGCGCCGACCATGCTGAAGCAGCTTCGTGGTCAGGCGCGGCTGGCCAGCAAGTGTCCTCAGCGCGGCACGTGCGCTACTGTGGCCATTCGCATCAGTTTTGGGGCGCGGCGCGACCCGCCCATCTGGTACCTGCGGCACATCGTAGGTGCGTTCTACTCTCGAGTCCTTGGAGAGGACGGCCTCGCTGCCAAGGTCCAGCGAGGATGGGACGCGTCCCTGGAGCGTGTGGCGCGCGGCTGGAACTTCGTGCGCGGCCCGCTTTCGGCCTTTCAGGCCTCTGTCCTTTCTGCTGGCTGGCAGTGCCCGTCCCTGTCCAAGTTGGTTGAGCCAGACGGGCAGGAGTGGGAGCTTTTCGCCACCACCGTCGCCCCCGTCACCAGCCTCCTCGCGGCTCTGGAGCAGACCGCTGAGAACGCGGTTTGGCGCCAGGCGGCCAAGCATCTTGACGGGGGTGGGGCGGAGGAGGGCGTCTGGTGGCAGCACGTGCCTGCACTGGCGGAGCGGCTGGAGAAGGAGTCCCAGCACAGTCTTGCCAGCCTTGTTCGCCTAGTTGCATGCGGTGGCTACTGGACGGAGGAGCGACGTTTCCAGGCTGGCTACCGCACGGACGACCTGTGCCAGCGCTGCCACCGCTCCCGTGAATCCAGCCGTCATCGTTTCTGGGAATGCATGTGCAATTCCATGGAGAGGGACTGGGCGCTCTCGGTCGGTGTGCCTCCCCCTCCTGAGGCTGTGGTCTCCTCCAACCACCTTCGCAGTCAGGCGTTGGAGGAGATCGACCGCTTCCCTGTTTTCTGGTGCCGCGGGCTTGTGCCCCTCGCCTGGCTGAACCTCCCGCCGCCCCCCGACGAGCGTGGCCATCGTTGGCTGCGCTGCGGCGTCGGGGCGCTGCCAGGGGGGATCTACGCTACCGACGGTGCAGGTGGAGCCTGGTCGTCTCAGCCCTTGCTACGCCGTGTGGCGTGGAGCTTCGCTCGCCTTGACGACGGCCAAGGTTTGGACTGGGACTCTGGCTGCACGGGCTTGGTGGACGGTCCTGTGCAAACTGTGCCTCGCGCTGAGCTCCTGGCCATTGTGGAGTGCGTCAGGGCCGTCCACCCTGCTGCCGATTTCAAGCTTTATTCCGACCACGTGAATCACGTGAATGCGATAGCGCGCGGACGCCGCCACTGCTACAAGCTCGAGCACGCGGACCTCTGGCACGATCTCTTCTCGCTGCTAGACGCCCGCGAGGGCCGCTTCGCGCTCCTGCACGTGCCCTCGCATCTTGCCGAGGACCCAGCTAAGTTTGCTCGCCTCGGCCACTCCGTGCTGCCCGAGGCTATTTTTCTCAATGCGGTGGCCGATGGGCTCGCCGAGGAGCGGGCTGAGGAGGTTCAGCTTGATCCAGACGTTGCCCGCCGCGCTTTGGACCTGGTGGAGCAGGCCGAGGCCATCCTGCTCCGCAGTGCCACTCTCTGTGCTGCCGCCGCCTCCGCCCCCAAGAGCCCTGGCCGTGAGGTTACCAAACCCAAGGTTTCTAGGGCTCAGAGGAGGGAGGAGCTGCTTTCGGGCTTTGCGGCTCGTTCCCAGCATGCCTCTGCCTCGACCGCGTTCGGCTGGTGCTGCAAGAGCTGTGGCCGATCGGTCAGGCGCTCTCAGAGCCGCGCCCTCCACCTGCTGCGCTCCTCTTGCTCGGCCTTGCGGCCGCCGCCTAGCCCGCCTCCCTGCCGCGTGGAGCTGCAGCAGCGAGGCCATCAGAGGGAGGGGGACGGGGCGGACGAGGACGGGGGGGGGGACGGTGAGGTGCCTCTCGAGCCTGCGGTCGAGCCAGAAGCGGACGCAGCTCCCGCGCTTCGGGTCTGCGTCAGGCTGCCGCGCTCGTACTCGGGGCTGCCGCCCATCGACGAGCAGCTCTTTCGTTCTCTGGGGATGCCTGATCCCCCCTCTCGCTTGCCTCCTGGCACGGGCATTGCTGGACATGTGCCGCATGCCTCTCACTTTCTGTGGCGCAAGGGTGCCATCACTTTTTGCAGCCTCTGCGGGCGCTACGCTGACTCCAGGCCCTCGCGACTTCTGGAGGAGTGCGAGGCGGCGAGGCACGGACCTTTCGCGCTGACCAAGGCGCAGCTTACTGCCCTGCTGCGGCTGCGCAAGGGCCTCCCTCCCAGGCCTGGGGTCTGCGAGTGGCCCTCGGCGGGTGTTTAGCCCGCGTTTTTGACTGCCAGCCTGTCGCCCGGCCTTTTTGCTTCCGCGATTTGGGTGTGCGCCTGGCTGCCGTGCATTGCAAAAACTCCTCCTCCTCCTTCTCCTCCTCCTCCTCCTCCTCCTCCTCCTCCTCCTCCTCTTCCTCCCACCCACCGCTTGTGGGTGTCAGGACACTCCGAGGACACTCCTCCCCTTCCTTCTCTTCCTCCTGTCAAGATGCGTTCGGGAAACGGGGAGGGAGGGGGAGGCGAGGGTAACCCCCGGCAGCCCTTGCCGGAGAGATGGGCCGAGGCCAGCGAGGACAACAGGCTGCTCAAGGCCCTCGAGGCGAAACTCGCCGGGGCCGGGGAGCCCGAGGCCATGGAGGAGAAGGAACTCAGCCCAGACCTCCGGCGACTCGAGAAAGTGCACGCGAGGCCCTGGATTTCACCACCTACCAGACCACCCCAACCCAACCCGAAGGCCTCAATTTGCCCTCCATTTCCAGAGGGGGGGGGGTCGGGGAACGTCGGAAAAACACATGGAACCCGTACCCCCCCCAACCCGAAATTCGGGTCAAATTCGGGTCTTCGGGTTGGGTTGGGGTGGTTTGGTAGGTAGTCAGGACTAAGTCGGGCCTGTCCCTCTACCAGGGGGAAAAATCAAACATAGTCAAACAATAGTCTGGGGATTATTTTTTGATTTAGACTGTTTTTGAGCATTTGGGGGGTATTGTTTGAGTTTTTTTGCTTTGTTGCCCAAAATCCCCCTGTAGGGGGACAGGCCCGACCTAGGCCTTGGACTTGTTGGCCTCCGGGGGTGCTTCCGTCGGCGCGGCCGGATCCGCGTCGAAATCACGCGCCCGGGGACCGCCTGACCCCAAACTCGTCTCGGGGCTCGAGCATCCTTCATAAGGGGTCGATGGTTGAGCCCCGAGGCGGGTCTGGGCCCCGACCTGAGGCCGCCGAGGGCGGGGGGACTCGAGTTTCGGGCGTCCTGGACGTCTTTCGCTCATTTTGGGCATCTGGGAAGTTCCTCGTCGCCGTTTCACATTCGGTCCGAACGAAAGGGGGGGATAGGGAAAGGGGGGGTTACGAAATCTGCTGCATGCAGCTGGTTTCTGCCCCGCCGCCGGGCCCATTCCTAGATACATGGGCGCCTCCCGGCGCCGGGAGGCGCCAGGAAAATCAGCTACGTGAGCTGATTCTCAAACCCCCCCTTTCCTATCCCCCCCCCCCCTTCGCCCGGCCGGACACATGAGATGTTTCGCCGCTTTCCGCCTCTGAGCGGCCGTCTTCCCAGTTTCCCGCGGGACAGTCGGACGGTAGGTTCGGACATTTCCAGTGGCGGTCGTTTTTTTTTTGCAATCCCAGGACCTTTTTGAGGGTCGGGGACGACGTCGGGGTGGTGTGGTGTATACCTTTTTCCCCGCTTTCCCGGGGAAGCAACGAAGAATGTATACACCAGGATCCCGTATACACCAGGTTCCGCGCTCCTATGCAAGATTCCGCGCGAGGCCAGAGAAAGACGTCGGTGTATAGAGTTCGGCTCCTTATGGTTGTGAAAAATCGTCCACGGGGAAGTGCCTGCGGAGTGAACGCCAGTCCTCGGGGATGGGGCCTGGAGCCCTGGGGGCCCACGGCGCGAAATGGCCGAGTCGCTGGAGATCTGGGGAGGGGTATAGGGAGACAGACTCAGGGCAAATCATCGCCAATTCGTCGCATAGGGTTAAGTCGGGCCCGTCCCTCTACAGGAGGAATCTTCAAGAATAGTCCAAACATAGTCTGGGGACCTTGGTTTTTTAATCGTATTTTTGATTAGTTTGGAGAATTGTAGGGTATTTTCATTGTTTCGCCCAAAATCCCCCTGTAGGGGACACGCCCGACTTCAGCATAGGGGCCCGATGGCCGACCTCGCCCAGGAGGGTGCGGATCCACCTTCGTGGGCCGAGCGCCGATCCATTGGCGTTGTATCGTCGATTCCAGGTCGACGCTCCCCCCCCCTCCGCGTTGTGCCCCCCAACAAAGGAGCAGAAGGAGGCGGAGGGCTCCCAGAGCCTGCTGAAGGCACTCGAGGATCCGAGGCCAGAAAGCACACGAGCACGAATTTCAGACGTCCGCGAACAACTTTCCCGCCGGCGCCGCCGTTGGCGCGTGTCGCGCGCTGCAGGAGGGCATCGCACCGTGGAGAGGTGTGCGAGGGGGTCCAGCACCGTCGGATCAAGGGCAGCGTTAGGAGGCATCGGCCCCGAATCGCGCACGCATGTCCGATGAGGGCCCGAGCCCACCCCTCCCAGGAACGTGCGGATTGCTGTCGGGTGCCCATCGCCGATCTGCCGGCCATGTCTCACTTATCCCAGCTCGGTGTGTCCCTCCCCCCCACCCCCTGAGCGGGTCAAAGCCCATCGTCCCCCCTCATCGGAGACATCGTCCGCAACCAGCTGAAGGTTGATTGCGTCAGTGGCAGTCTGGTGTTGCATGTTGCTCGTGGCCTGTGTCCGTTCGTGCTGCTCGCCTTCGCCTGCCATCCCTGATCCAGGATTTCACCGCTGTGTCTGGAGCGCTTTGGACGCGCGCTCTCGACTGCAGTTTAGCCCCCGCGTCTCGCTATCTTTCGACTGTGGCCCAACGTAGCGGAGGAAGAAATGGTGTGTATCTGAAGCCCAGGACACCTAGAAACTGCCTGCGGGCTTAGAGGTTCCACCGTCCCCGCGTTACAGCGGCCATGTTTGGAAAACATGTGTGCGTGTGGTCCCCGGCCAATGTGGCACTTCAGCGGCCCGCGAACGTTCAGATATTCGTTGGTGTGCATGTGGTTGTTTCGCTCGTCTCCCAGAGTCCGCCATCCCAAACGCTGGTGTGGCTTAGCTGACCAGTTCAGGCGGCGTGTGACCGTGTCGACATTGCGCGAGACACCGCCGAGAAACAAATTCCAGAGGAGAAGATCACGGGCGCGGTCTCTTCCCAGGGGGAGAAGCAGCGCGCCGTGGCCGACGACGCCGCGGCGAAGAAGGTGAAGCAGCTGGAGGCGGAGTTGCTGGAGCTCAAGCGCGAACATGAGGCGGCCGACCTGAAGGTGCAGCGGCGGGTGGTGGAGCTCCTGGAGGTCCGAGCGGGAATAATTTATTATTTTGCATAGAAAGAGTAAGCTCGGGAGCCTTGTGCGGATCCTTCTGCGGTTTGCCTTGTGCGCGCTTGTGAGGTGTCTTGTGCTGGCGTCTGGCGTCGGCTTGGCATTCGCGATCGTTTGTGTAGAACAGAGGAAGAATAAGAAATATCAAGAGGACGAGGAGGCGGAGGAGATGTGGGAGGAGACAATGAGGATGGTGGGAGTGTCGCCCGAGACATCCTTGCAACTCAGAGCTTCGAGGATGTTTCCTATTTGTCCTGCTTTCCTCGTCCTCATCATTATCTTGTTTATTCCAGGGGTCATTCGAATCGATGTCCGCGGCTGCTGATTGGAACCGATTCCAGGGACAGATTTCGATGCATAATCGATTTAATATCGGCGAGGCGTAGGTGGGGGGGGGCAAAGGATGGGCCTCGGAAGCCAGAGTTGCACGGATGTTTCCGGCGATCTCCGAGGTCAGAGTTGCAAGGATGTCTGAGGTGAACGTAACCTGACCAATTCAGCTCAGGGCGTCTTTTAGCCAGGCATTCCCGAGGTCAGAGTATCGGGATGTCTCAGGCGAAAGCGGCGCGACCATTTCAGTCCAGGGTATCTCGGAACCCAGGCTTGCGAGGATGTCTCAGGCCAAAGTAGCCTGACCACCGTGGGGCAGAGCATCTCTGAGGTCAGAGTTGCGAGGATATCTCAGGCGAAAGTGGCCTGACCACCGTGGGGCATCGCATCTCTGAGGTCGGAGTTGCGGGGCTGTCTCAGGCGAAAGAGGCCTGACCACCGTAGGGCAGAGCATTTCTGTGGTCAGAGTTGTGAGGAGGCGGCGGTGGCCTGACAGCCGTTGGGCAGAGCATCTCGGGCAGAAAACGTCGACGGCGAACACCAATGAACATTTCGGCCTTTCTCACCGTGGAGGCCCCCGAGAGGCCCCCGCGCGGCTCCCAGGGGCCCCCGAGAGACCCCGAGGAGTCCCCGGCAGGCCAGGAAGGCCCAGGAGGCCCCGCAGGGCTTGGTGAGACATTCCTTACGATCCTCGACGCCGTCCAAAACTGCCCCCACGGAGGCTGCACGGCCGCCCTCGGCCAAAACCGCTCCCAGACTCCAGACGGCACAACTGGGCACCCAGGAAGCGCCGGGAGGGCCCTCGGAGCGTTCAGAAACGGCCCGAGACGGCCCGGGATGATCTGCACAAGCCCTCTTGTGCGCCTTGTGCACGCTCGCTCTTCGCTAACTTTCTCTTCCTGTTAGAAATCGGATATGTTTGCTGTAAACGCTAGGCTCGAGTGTTTCTTCCGGTGCTGCCACTGTTTGCGGAGACAGCGCGACACCGCCACCATCATCGTGCCACTTCCGGCAAGGAGTGGAGAGTGGAGGGTGGAGACGTCCCGAGCTGGAGAGTGGAGACGTCCCGAGCGGGGCGCCGCAACACAGGGTGGCCTCGCGACCACGACGACCAGTCCTTGCTCCTCACGATTGTGGTGGTGGTGTCGATGGAATTTGTCCCGAAGGCGAGCACTAACAAGCAGAAACTGCTGGACAAGGCGGACCAGGAGAGGCACGAGCTCCAGCAGAAGGCCGATGCCCTCGCCAAGAAGCTGCGGGAACGTGACCAGCAAGAGAGCGACGTGGAGGATCGAGGAGCACAACGTGCCGCATACATCTTTGCCGGCGTAGAACCCAGTCAGCAGGTTCGTGAAATCCTGGTGGGCAATAGATGTGGTGCAGTCTATGTGTGATCCATGGTCAGGGCCCACCCTCCCTCTCATGCTGACGCCATCGGGTCCCCCCCCTCTCCCTCGCGCGATTGCCCCCTCCCCCCCCTCCCCCCCCCCTGTCCCCCCCTGTGGGCGTGGCGTGGTGGGGTCTTCCCCTGTGGGCAGTCGGTGGTGGTGGGAGGAGGGAGGGATGAGGAGAAGCAACATCGTCGTCGTCGGTGTCTTCCTCGTCGTCGCCTCCCTCTGGGTGGGTGTGGCGTGGTGTTGAGGTGCTCCCAGGAGTCGTCGTCGTCGTCGTCGTCGTCCCTCCCCCATTCCATTTGGGGGGGGGGCGAGGGACCCTGAGACCCATCCCACCCATCCGGTGGGGGGCCGTGGGCCCGGAACCCAGGACCATGTATGGTGCAACCTTGGCGTTGCAATCTTTGCGATGCTGGCTACATGGTGCAGTCCTAGTGGTGCGTTGCATAGGATACTACCAATGTTGTTGTTTGAACTATGTGGTGCATTTGATGTAGCGCAATTGATTTCACCTGCGCCACGAGCGATGACTTCCCATGCCCGAGAAAACTTTTCACCCACCCACCTGCAACTTCTTGGAACAACTCCCGCAGGCCGTGGGTGCAGACAACCATCGCATCTTGCTCGCAGTGACCTTCGAAACCTGCCTTACGCAGATCCATGACTCGGCCGTGTGAGTGATGATGGTGACGACGACGCTCGCGACGACGACAATGACGATGGTAGTGATGATCATGATGATGATGGTGCTAGGCGTGCGATGACGACGAGGGCACCGAAATCGATGACGACGACGACTATGACGACGTCCTTGGTGATGACGACGGCGATCGTGATGATGATGATGATGCTGCTGATGATGATGACGCTGATGATGGTGATGATGAAGGAGATGAGTATGACGATGGAGATGATTTTTACGATGCTGACAATGATGCTAGCGACGGTGCTGATGAGGGAGCGCGTGCAGCAGTTCAGAATCTACGACGCTTGATCACTTGAATATCCTCTCGGTTTTCGTGTGTGTGTGAACACCTGTGTTGAGCTTCCAGAACAATGTGTGCGGAGATACCGGTGTATGGCCCGCACTCGAGTTTGTTGGCAGGGTTGGTTGGCGCGCAACGCTTGTTAATGCTTTTGACATGCGCGCGTGTGCCCCCGTATTTTATGACACAACAGAATGGCAGGAACGGTTGTATTTCTCACTCATAACCCCTGCGAGCGCGCGCGCGCATAACTTTACCAACGCGACCTTGGAGCATGCGAATTTCTTTGATGGTTGTGTGAGCAGTTACTTTTTGAAATGATCAGAACGCCATTGGCTCCTGCATGTAGTCATTAACTGGTGGTTACACAACGAACTTCGCATCCCAACCCGTGCGTATCGCATTGTATAACTACTTGCCAGCAGATGACTTCGTGGGGCTCATTCCGTACATGGTTTTATGTAATGGTTTTGATGAGCGATGGTGAAGGGTTAAAGCTGTGGGAAGCAAACTACGGGGCGCTAAGAGAGTGGTGCAATCTAAGGCGTCTGATTAACCGTCACAGAATCTAGATTCATCAGCTCTACCGCTCGCGCAAACATCCCACCCTCCCACCCGCCACCGGCTCGGCAAAACTCACCCGCGGCGTGCGGTCCATGCTGTGCAGTGCCAGCTACCTGTTGCAGCGCTTCTGGCACGCACTCCTTTGCGCAGCCTCGTGGGGGAATGTGCGACTGCACCCGCAAAAACACCCACGGGCGCTCGAGGCGCCCGCGGGTGCCCACCAGCCAGAAGGCTAGCACAGCGAGCCGCCGCACCGGCCCAGAGTTTGGAACGGTGGGTCGGCAGCCCGCGCACGGGGCGCCCACGGGGTGCCCACGGGCGCCCACCGGCCGACCGTCCAGAACCGCCAGCCAGTGCACGGGGCGCCCACTGGACGGGGGGAGCCTGGGCCCGCCAGCCAATTATCCTCCGTGGGTCTTTAGCAGCCCTCCCCAATAGGAGGGGCAGGAGGAGGAGGAGGAATAGGAGGAGGAGGAGGAGGAGGAGGAGGAGGACGACGAGGGGCGAGTTTGTTCCCCGCCGAGAAAACCAGGGGGGGGGGGGCAAAACTTCAGACCTCATGAGGTTATTCAGGACGAGCTCCTTCGTTGCACGTATCGTTTGGAGGATGAACTTTCCGAGGGTCTCGCGGATGATCGCGCGCTGGCCCCCCCCACCTCCCAGACCCCCTCCCGACAGCGCGGTGTGCGCTGGGGGGGAGCGCCAGCCGCCAGGTGGTGCGGGGAGGGGGGCCAGCGACGTCACAAGAATTCCGCGCGGACCTCCGATCGAGGGGCGCCCACGATAGACCTGCACCCAAGGGGGCCCTTGGGCCTGGCCACGATCAGCACAGGCCTGCAGCTTGCCTCCTCCTCAGGCCGATCTTCGCTATTCTCTGCGTGTTGGGGCCTTTGCCGGTCTTCGGGGCCGTCAAAACATCCATCGGGAGAAAAAGCCGATCCCAGGGAATGGGTCCAGACCGTTCGGGGGCCACGTCATGAACAAGTGCTGCAATCGGGGACCTGGGTCACCAGGAGAGGCAGGCTAAGTACGCCCACGACGCCCACGACGCGCGGCTGGAGGCGGAGCGCGAGCGCGCCCGCGCCGACGCGGCGGACCGCGACCGCGAGCGGCAAGTCGCGGAGGCCAAGCGAGCGGAGGAGGACCTCCAGCGCGCCAAGGCCGAGTCCGAGGACCGGGCGTCGAAAGAAAAACTCGCCACGAAGAAAATAGATTGTTAGGCTTGGCGTTGCTCGGACGTGCGCATTCTATCTCGGAAGGGACCACCGATGAGCATTTTGCAAAGCTGCCATGGGCCGAGGCGTCCCCAGCTCCAAGGGCCAGTCTGCCCTCAGGCGCCCACTGAGTGCTCCGCTCCGGGGCCCACTGGGGCCGCCACGGCATCCCTGGCATGGAGGCCTCCTGCGCTCCCAGCAGAGAAGAGGCAGCGACACGGACTGCCAGCACCCAAAGCCCCCGATCCCGCCGAGGGGCAGCAGGACTCCTCGAGCGAGATCGTTCGAGCAGGGCCCCCGAAGGCGCGGCAGAGCCGCCCCCGCCTCATCTCAGGACGAAACAACAAAAGCACACAGACACAATGAATCGTCGATTCCAAAACGAGATGGGAAAATATGGGAAGTGGGGGGAAGACGAAAACCCAGGAAACATAGGAAAATATAGGGGAATCCTGTTATGTGTGTGTGTGTATTTCTTTGTGTGCCCCAGGGCCCCTTCACCACCGCCCGAAAGGGAGGCCTGGGCCTGGACTGCTCCTCTCAGCTTCCGACAGGACGCGAGAGCGCAGGTCGACCGCCTCCGGGAGCAGGTGCGCTCCCTGCGTCGGGAGGCACGGGCGGCGCGCACGAGTGGGGGGCGTCGGGAGCAGAAGGAGCACCACCGCCTGAGGGGATGCAGGGGTGCAAGATGGGCTGAGCTGCGAACTGCACGCAAGCAGCGTGCGCAGAACATGTCCCGCGAGAGCGACCGAAAGAGTAGCAATGCGAAACCGCCCAAACCCCTGACCTCCGATTGCCTCCATGCTGCATTTGGCGGTGGCGCGTTTTCTTTTCCCGGATCTGGCAGGGCGGGGGGGTACAAGATTAGGGCAGGGCCGTGGGGAGAGGGCTTCAATGAAGGCGCCCCCCCCCTGAGAAGCCATCCTGAATTCGGATACGGTAGTGGCGTTGATTAAGTAATGTACCCAGGAGGCTTCAGACCCTGGGGTATTCCTTATGCGATTAGGGCGGCAGTCGTATCAATGGCCAATCCACCATTGGAGATCCATTGGCTTCCAGACCCTGGATTCCACCTTGGCCGCGACCCCGCGGATGCGGGGTGTTTTTTCGCGGATGCCCTGCGCGGAACGTGCCCGTGCGACAGCGTATCCGCGGGATCGCGCCCCAGAGTGCAGACCGCGAGGGCACGGATACGAAAATGTGCGCCGTTCGTGAGTTTCCAGCCCTATGAGCATAGCCGCCCTCCCTCGCCGTGCCACCTACCGAACGCCGCTCAAGGACGGTCGCCAGACCACTCCGAAGGCCCACTTTGGCTGACGTTTCGAGCCGCGTCCGGCCGTGGTGACAAGACCCCTTAGACACATTCGAAACACATTCAGAACGACAACGCCTTCTCCGCCCACGGCGAAGTCGTCACCGTCATCGTCGGCTCCCTGCCCCACCCCCTGACCCCCGACGCCGCGCTCTTTTGGGCAACGTGGATCCCAGGAAGTCTCGACCCGTTCCCTGGGGCCGGTTTTCATCCTGAGTAGGGCAGTTGCTTGACGGTCCCGCGGCCCGGCGATGGCCCCCAGAGAGCGAAGGTCGGCAGCGCGTGAAAGTGTCTTTTCGCCGGAGTGCTCCTCTGTGCGGGGCAAGTGGCGCCCCGTGATGGCGGAACGCCGTGCGATAGCAGCGGCGTGCGCGCTCGGCTTTGGTCCCCCTGCGCCCTCCTAAAGCCGCGCACCAAAGGTCACTCTTCTCGGCATCGCTCGGACGTGTGCATGTTTTTCTCGGCGAGAACCATCGAGAACTATCATGGACCATCGAGCAAACAAAAAACCTGCACGAAACCGAAAAATGCGCAGGAAATGGACGTCCGAGCGACGGCAAGTCTTGCCTACGGTCATTATTAGATGTAGGCGAGAAGGTATCGGCAACAACCTCCCGTCGTGTTTTGTTCTTAGGCGCAAAGGGTTCGGGTCGTGCAGGCGCCCGACGCTGGGGCATCGCGGCGGCGGCTGGGTCCCCCTGCGCGCGGGCGCCAACTCCCGGAGGTCCGAGGAGGAG